GGAAATGGTTAAATTTAGTCGAGGTCTCAGGTCTCTACAATGTCGGAAAGTTCCTGCAGGAATTTGCGCATTGCGCTTGAAGCACAAGATTCACAGCGCCAAAAGCGAAGGTCGTAGAGACATGAGACCTTGACTAAAGTTAACCATTTCATACCATTGCTATAAGAGTATGCCACTTTCAGAGTCCTAAACACACTCCCATATCTTTTAATCGTCAATTGTATGAATTTTACCTGTTAAAATATATCATCTTTTACTGATATCAATTTAGTTTAACACTGTTAGTTTAAAAAAAGAAAATAATACTTCGCACCAAACTAACACACAATATGAGAATATAAAGAGAAAGGTTTTCTTGGAGACCTGGACCATCAAAATAGTGTACATTGCTGCTGTCATTGTCAAGACTCCAGAATAAGAGGGTCTAGTTGTGGGATTATGCTGGATAACAGATATGATAAGTGGTAACATCCTACAAAAGAATGTTAGCTTACTAAGGAATTTTCCTCTTACCGAATTATACAAGAAGTTAACTAAGTTCCTCCTAGTCCTAAGCATTATCTTGTTTCAGAGGGAATGAGTGATTTAAAAAGATGAGGCCAAAGAGTTAGTTGTGAAGAAGGCATTTGTACTCTGTAATTTCTAAGCTTATTTTTTTCGATTTTATAGCTATTTACTTATCTTGTTTTGACGTATCAGCAAGAGATCACTGGACCTCGTTAGTTGTTAGTCATGTTATGCTGATCCAGTTAGTGACGAGCTATGAAGTAATCATTCGACCTCATTTAATACTGATCCTATCAATGACGAGCTATGAAGTAATCAGTGGATGTCGTCAATGCTCATCCTGTCCGGACTGTCAGTGACGAGTTATGAAGAAATAAATGAAGACCTCATTAATTCCTTGTTCCAAGAAGATATTCCTCTGGTAACAACCCCTTCTGGCCTGCTTCTGAACATAATATGAAGATTCGAAAACCTAGTCTACCTAAATTGGAACTTGCTGACTGCATTGGAAAATGGAGAACAATCGAGAAATGATAATCAGTGCCAGGATATAATCAAAGTTGAATTCGGAATCCAAGGAAAACCTTCCTTTTTTATATTATCATATTGTGCGTTAGTTTGGTGTGAAGTTATATGTTCTTTTTTAATACTAACAGTGTTTTAAACTAAATTACTACTACTACTACTATGTCGGAGCTAAGTCCGATCTACGCCAGAAAACCCCCTCCATATATCCCTGTCCCGCATCAGGGTTCGCAGTTCCTCTTTAGAGTTTGTCCCAACTTCCTTCAGTAACATAGACAAGTAGCTTTGTCTTGGTCGGCCTTGCTGTGCTCTACCGTGCGTAGGTTCCCATAAGACTAAATCACTGGCAAGTAGTTCAGGATGTCGGATGCAGTGTCCCGCTATTTTTAATCTCCTGCTTCGTAACTTGTTTGACAGCCTTGGGAGGCTACCATACAAAGTTATATTGCTGACCTTGTCCTTCCATGAGATACCCAGCACCATACGCAACATCTTTGTGTATGTCCCGTCCAAACTTTTCTCTTGAGCCTTTGTCAGTGTCCAGGTTTCTGATCCGTAGAGCAGTACTGATTCACAAGCCGCTATGAACAATCTAATCTTTAGGCTCTTTGAGAGTTTGGATTTCCAGATATCCTTCAGTCTATGTAGGGCACCCCACGCTTTTCCCTTTCTAACCCTTATCTCCCTATCTGTGCTCTCAATCCAGGAGCCTAAGTAGATGAAATCATCTACATTTTCTATGGCTTCCCCGGATCGACTTTGTAGGTCGCTAGATCGATCCTCCATATTCAGTGTCATGACCTTGGTCTTGCCTTCGTTTATGTGTAGTCCCACGCTTGCTGCCGCCGATTCTACTCTGAGCAGGAACTCGTTAGCCTTGTCCATGTCCTCAGATATAAGTGCTATATCATCTGCAAAGTCCACATCGGTGATGATCTTGGGCCCCACTCTTCTGCTTTTTCTACGTTCGAGGGTGAGTCCAAGTCGCTCCGCATCATCGCCTATGGCTTGCCTCATACAGTAGTCGATGACTATTGCAAAGAGGTAAGGTGCTAAGGTATCACCCTGTAACACACCTGCAAGTATCTCGAACAATTCAGTTTCTCCGTCTGGAGTTAGGACTTTGGCCATTGTCTTCTCGTACATGAGCCGTATAAGCTGCACGATTTTGACTGGAATGCCGTAAGCTTCTAGAATCTTTAGCATTTTCCCACGATGTACACTGTCGAAAGCCTTCTTAAAGTCTATAAATGTCAGAACAGCTGGCAGTTTCCGACTCTTGACACCCTCTATAAGACGTCTCAGTACCAATATCTGTTGAGTTGTTGACCTTCCTGGTCTGAATCCATTCTGGTTTCTACGCAGAATTGTCTCGATTTCTGGCTTCAACCGGTTTAGAACCATCTTGTTTAGAGACTTGGCAACTAGGGATGACAAGCTTATTCCCCGATAGTTCATTGGTTCGCTAAGGTCGCCCTTCTTTGGAATTGGTATGATGTTGGCAGTTGACCATTGGTCTGGTTTCTCACCTTTCAATAGAGCATTGTTACAGAAGTCTAAGACAATTTGATCAAGGTCGCATCGTTTTAAGACTTCTGGGGCTATGTTGTCGTCACCCCATGCTTTCCCTTCCTTTATGCTGGACTTTGCTTTCCTGTACTCATCCAACGTAAACGGTTCTGTTCCGATATTCAGAGGTGGGTGGACTAAATTGGTATCAGTTAAAGATGATACATTTTAACAGGTAAAATTTATATAATTGACGATTAAGAGCTGTAGGAGTGTGTTCAGGACTCTGAAAGTGGCATACTCTGATACCAATGGTATGAAATGGTTAACTTTAGTCAAGGTCTCATGTCTCTACGACCTTCGCTTTTGGCGCAGTGAATCTTGCGCTTCAGCGCAATGCGCAAATTCCTGCAGGAACTTCCCGACATTGTAGAGACCTGAAACCTCGACTAAAGTTAACCATTTCCTACTGTTTATAGTAGAGGAGCACACATTTATAACTCCTTCCAAACTCCTCCGTGACTAAATTGACGATTTAGATAATTTTACCTGTTAAAAATTGGTGAAAAATATGGGCGTGGCCCAAGTCAGTATTATACGAAACCGTAGACACAAAATATTGTTTGGTTGTTCCTGATCCTATAGAGCAACTAATTAGAGGTGATATCTAATTATTTGAACGAAAAGTGGTTTTGTGAACCGCCCTTTATTCTACAGCGAATCATGAACATTGAACATGTACATGATAAGAACTTAGAATTGTATCAAGTATGAGTTTATATGAGTAATTTATTATGAAACCTTTCACTAGATGCAATTTCGACCAGGAGGTGACCGGGACATGATTTCAGGCCTGACCGGGACCGGGATACAAATGTGACTTGACCGGGACCGGGATGGCTCAAAATTGCCAATCCCGGTACCGGGAATTCTGGTCGATTGCTGATCATAATTTATTACTCAAACTTGTTTAGCAATTTTAAACATTGTTTTATTTGGCTCAGAGGATGTTTAAAGATGAAATTCACAATGAATGAAAGGAAAAACTTAAAATCACAGTGAATGAAATTATGTAAAAGATCCCGGTCAAAATCCCGGCAAATTTGAGTGATTGACCGGGACTGGGACCGGGACCAAGAATCCTGAATTAACCGGGACCGGGACCGGATCATAAATCAGCATTTGACCGGGACCGGGATAGCTCAAAATTGCCAATCCCGGTCACCTCCTGATTTCGACTAAATTCATGTAGATATCCAATCCAGTTCCATGCACAACTGTTGTTTAAATTTGGTCTAGTTAGACACAATTTGTTTCAGAGTGACTCGATAATCGCAATATCAAACTAAGATATTATTTAAATGGTCCATGTCATGCAATGCGGAAATATCCCCATAAATTGGCAACTGCCAAAGTGACACTAAAGTTATTGCTAATTCCTTTACAAAACTTAGCAAGTGCTATTAACAATTTCCTAATGGATCATGGAAATTGAAATGTTCAATTTTCTTTTCATAAACAATAATTATAATGCGAAGTTGTATTTACCCCAAGTTTGGAGAGTAAGTAGGTTAAACTGGGAATGCCCCTTCCCAGGGACCACATCACCCCTAATAAACCATTAAATATCATGGGAGACCATGCACAGCCTCGAATTATAGTATAATGACTTCGAATAAACCTTTTTTGTCTCTAAAAAAGGCTTAGAAAACTAGATTTATTTACCTCATTTTACCTCATTTTACCTCATCCCAATTTTGCCTTTTTTGGCTGGCCTCATGAGGTAAAATGAGGTTGACCCCCCCCCCCCCCCCCCCCCCCCCCCCCCCCCCCCCCCCCCTATATTATTAAATATTATAAATAACATTATATACTTTGGGTATTTGTTGTGTTTCTTATATAATTATACATATTACATACATTTACATGTGGAATGGATAACAGACTTAAGTTTCAAAAGTAAAAGTAATTTGTGGATCGAAAAACCTGAGGCTGAGATTTACCGGCAACCAAACTCCGCTAAAAGTATAAGATGTCAAGAAAAAAAACAACAGTTTCAAGAAAACAACAATTTCTCCATTTCTCCGCCTAATTTCTTAACACAGATATCAGGTCGACCATTATTGTGTAGTTACACAACCTTATCTAACACTTTTCAGACAAACCACTTTGGGTTATTGTTATTACAATAGTTCTGCAATATAACAGAAAACGCTTAACATTAACAACTTTGATTATGTGTTATTCGTATGATATGTTCATAACAGATGTGTACTTAGTATTCACGAGTATTAATTATGTGTATTAATTATGTGTATTAATTATGTGTATTAATTATGTGTATTATTTATGTGCATTAATTATGTGTATTAATTATGTGTATTAATTATGTGTATTAATTATGTGTATTAATTATGTGTAATAATTATGCGTAATAATTATGTGTACTGAGTACTCACGGAAGTGTAAGGTCTGAGAGAGCCCCACGTAGATTAGTCCGATGACAATAATGAACATTCCCAACACATTGTGTCTCTCAAACCTCTGTTTTAGAGCTACCCTAGCTAGTAGTCCGGTAAATATTATCACAGCTCCTGGGGAGAAAGGTTTGAGAGTAAGGACTTGTTCTATTTAGGGTGGATTACTAAAACAATTACTCTGCCATATGTTCAGTGTTTTCAAACATTTGAGCCGGAGGTCCCCAGGATATAAAAGAACACTCATGTGAACATGTCATGTGACCATGTCATGTGACCATGTTAAGACTCGTGTGCTTCCTCTCATTGGTTAAAGTTACCTCTCATCATTTGAGCTACACTGGCGTACGTGAGGCTCAGCCCCAGATACAACATGCTGGTTGCAGTGAGATCGCAAAGTGCGGGAACCAGCAAAAAGTAAGGTTTGAAACCCTCTCCCGCTACTTGAGGTTCTTCTCCTTTGCGTTTAGCTACCACTACTGTTAGATGATAGACAACCAAACACCCTGACTCCCCAATAAACATCAGTATCGCCTGAGGGGAGTTTTGGTTAATTTTGTCGGAGCCCCCTGTTTTAAATTTGCGAGGTGTAACTTTTGGGAATTTGGGACGAGCCAGATTTTAAATTTACTGAAAATAAGCTAGCCTCAAATAAGATGATTGCTTTTATAGTCATGTAGTCCGGCTGAGAGAAGAGCATCGAAATAAATCGAATTGACTGACATCAAATTTGTAATTTAATACATGTAATAATTATGGCGCGCGAGTAAACTCATTGCATGCGGACACGGACCCGCATTTTCACCGATTTTATGTTCATAGTTTCATATCGGATGCATATCTTACCTATCAGATGCGATATGCACTGATAGTATCCGATAGGCAACCGATGTAAAACGGTAAAACTAAAGCCGGTAAACTTAAAATCTGGCTGTCATGTACGCGACGGCCGGCGCGCGCGCGTGTAGCGCAATGAAACAAACAACTTTATCCTTTGCGTCTTCCAGTAAAATATACAGTAGACCGTTTCAGGGGCGTCTTCAGACAGGGTTATAATATAATAATGCCTTCGGCTCTTCGGGCTCCGCTTGATAATTCCCGACAGCTTGCTGGAGGGAATTTGCGGCCCGGAGAACCGGAGGTATTATGTATTATAATATTTTCCGGTTCCGAATTGGAAGGGGTGTAATCCGATACGTGCGCATGATACAATATAGTGTCTAATATATAGAACGCCAGTGTTATTTGTTTTACAACTTGCCGCCAGCCAGTCTGAGGTCTTGGCTTCCCTTGCGGGATATATCGGCAAATTATCAGCTCTCAGTGTCCGAGACTTTTAGTGGATATAATTCCCGGAAGGTATTATAAAACAAGAGTTATGCAGAGGATGTTTTCACTGAGTTGTAACGTTGCCCCCATCCTGAATCTGCCTTCATATATAGGTTGCGCATGCGCGTTCCCTAGAACATTTCGATTATATCTTAGAATAGTTCACGCACTAGTCCAATATCTTACCACAGCTTCACGCCCTAATTTAATTAATTCACAGATGATTAAATCTTTACTGTTTACATGATTACCTATACGTTACAAATTGAGCGAAAACATCGCCTCGAGTTATGTGACGAAAAAGTCCACTGTCTTGACAGATAATAGTTCACAAACAAACCAGCCTAAAGTATACCCACTTGAAAGAAGGGATGGTAGAAAGTGCGCCTAAAGGATTCACATTTGTCAGCACCATAACTTGCGGACACGTCTGCAAACCTGTAATATTAGAAGGATTGGAAATTACATTTATTTTATTCTCGTCTCTGAATCTTAATGTTTGTTGCTTTCTTCTTAACATATTCCTGTTGTTATAAAATGAATTGCGAAAGACTCTTACAGATTAGAAATATTTCTGAACAACTTGATGAAGTGGTGAGTTTTAGTTTCCCATGACCCTGCTGTTCGGACTTCTGCTAATACTTTTGAGTTTTGATGTGCAACATTTGACGTCATATTGTAAGTATAAAGTATCAGTATATGGAACCGTGAGTTCTGGAGAAGTCACAAGAATACACAAACGGAAGTTGAAATGTAATATGCAAGATTGGTGCACGCGAGTTCTGTACTAGAAAACTTCCATTGCGTCACACAAAGTATTGAATATCATCACATGCCCATAATTTGTAAATATTAGAATATAATAGGCTGTTATATGTTGGACAGTGTCCACTCGACACGTATATTTTACACTTTACAAATATCCCTTATTTCCCTTATGTCCGATAAGCACTAAGTTCAATTTACCGCTTAAACGGAACGCCATTTTCACATTCTTTCTGATGAAGGTTAAACCTTTTAAGATCACTCACTGATAAAGCTCGATTGAAAGCAATGATAAAAGTGTACTTACTTAGCAGAAATTGTGTTAATTGTCCCAGTGATCATCATGATCAAAGCCAGTACCAGACCCCATTTTATCATTCTAATAATAAGGAAAATTCATACATTCAGGAAATTAATTTAGATCAGTGATATCAATAAGCCAAATTCCTTAGAAATAAAAAAGAGATTCTTTGGATTTATTTAATTCCAGTCACCAAACGGCCAAACCGCAAACTTCAATTAATTGACTTTTGACATTTACATTTACATTTAAGAAACATATTCAAAGTTACTTAATTCAGTATAAATGTTTACTAAATACAGTGTACACAGTGTAAATATCACCTAAAATAAAACATCATAGGACACGAATAAAAGTCGGTTAGCACGGTCAAAAAACGATATGTAAAACTCTAAAATATTCAATACTGACTTGCCACTGATGGCATGATAATATCACGTAATAACAGCTTTCTTATCTGATTCTCAGATATTCAATACTGACTTGGTGTGTAAGTTGTATCATTGATATGTATCTCCATTCATCAGTCAGCTGTATATAAAAGTACGAAGGGATTCAATACAAACACATCGGGATGTTATGTTCCATCTTGCCCCTTATTAAAGTAGTTAAATATTGCTCTTTACACAGTTATCATATCAGTTAAGGAAGTGGAATAATAATAACCCCCGATATGAAACAGTTGACAATATTGGTATATTGTCACTATTCATGATTAAATGTACAGGGGGGGGGGGGGGGGGGGGCAAAAGTCAGTGTACATAATATTTTTAATGTTGGGTCTTATACCACCGCGGTGTTTCATATTTGAAACTTATTGCTTTGCAACATACTGTACCTACGCATAACAAGTTTATACCAAAATGAATAAACTCGCTATGCTTCATATCTCGGTCATCTAAGAAGCTAGAACTCTCATTTTTTCAGGGTAAATGAAATTCGAATGGCCAAATACAATTTGGCTCTATTGAATGTTTAACATATCAAATAAATGCGAAAATTAACCTTCATTTCAAAAAAATTAATTTGAATATTCTTGGATTTGATATATTCGGACTCGAATATTTATCGAACGAGTGGTGCGGTGATATCAATTATTGTAAGTAACCTTTTTTAGAAACTATAAAAACAAAATACTGATACATAACATAAAACATTGATATAAAATTTACTAAGGAAATTGAAGTTATTAAGGAACTTGTGGATTAGATAAAACAGTAACATAAGTAAATAACTTTGAACAAATCAACTTTGCATTATATGTACTTGGAAACTAGATTTAATGTCTTATCACGTGAGCTATAGGCTCCAACAAATCTAATAATCTGGATATAATATTATTAAATGCAGTACCACTGTCACCACTGTCACCACTGTCACCACTGTCACCACTGTCACCACTGTCACCACTGTCACCACTGTCACCACTGTCACCACTGTCACCACTGTCACCACTGTCACCACTGTCACCACTGTCACCACTGTCACCACTGTCACCACTGTCACCACTGTCACCACTGTCACCACTGTCACCACTGTCACCACTGTCACCACTGTCACCACTGTCACTACTGTCACTAGAATACTTCCTTTCTGGAGTTTGGTATAACACAACAGAACACTTTACACGGGCTCGTGAGATTGCAAGATAAAGTCTACTGATGTCCCATAATAACGAAACATCATATAACACAATAACAGCAGGCCACTCAGATGAGTAGCTTTTATTACTTGTGCATATTGATATCTTATTAGTGTCGTAACCTTCACTACTCAGTGTTTTTACAATAAACTGTTCTATCTCAGTATCTGTCCTTTTAACCAATATTCCAATGTCGGAATAATCTAAATCATATCCCTTTAACAACATCTTAAATTCATTTATCAAGACATCTTTTATCAAGCTATACGGTACGTCAACAATATTATTCAAAACATGTATCTTAGTTAAAGGTCCTCTTATAAAATGTCCATCTTCCTGTTTTGGTATCAAAAATACACTTCCTACCATGCTTCAAGCGCAAAACCCCTCACTACGATAAACCAGATTGATATGACTTGAAGTGTTCCTCAAATTTTTTAGGTAAGGTACTCGCTGCCCACTCGTCAACTCTTTCTCCAGTAAAGCATTTAGTTGAAGAAAATAATTTACAAATCCACATAAAGGACACTTTGTGCATGTACAATACCACCCACACGTGGTGTGCCCAGACAACTTGATAAGATCGTTAAGAAGCTCTATAAATACACATTGTTTAGTCCCCAAAAGGGGGTAGTTGAATATTACAGCCTGGATATCGTCTATAAATACACTACTATCTGTTAGAGATATTACCAGTTCTCTAAAATCATCAACACGTGAAACTCCAATTTCTAGATACATATCTATAGTGACAATTACAACCTGTAATGATCTTAATAAACATTATCTCATCTGACACGATCGAAATGACATATTTCTTGAAACAGTAAGTCTTACACGTAACCTGCTATTACTCACGCAGTTTATACAAGGAAGCGTTATTTCCTTTACCAGCAAATGTGAATACCACGAACCTTGTTCTTCACATCAATAACGCTAACTGTAAATCTTCTCCCACCATTACAACTGATTTGCCTGCCCAGCCGGTCCGTTTATCCACAACAACTTTTCTTTCCGATTCTTAATGTATTGTCATAACAGCAGTCAAAAATCGATACTGACATACTTTCTTCACTCAGGGAGCTTCTACTACACCAGGATTTGATTGACATTTCTTACTCCCTTTTTCTCAAAAGTGATAATTGCTGTCTTCAACTTCGCATCGATGTCTCGTATGTTTCCTTCCTAATGAGCATATATTTTTCTCACATATATTATTCATGTTACCCACAAGCGAGAATAACTTTTTAGTCTCTCAAATGATACAGGAGATTGTTGAGACCTTGTGATATTTCTTCTGTAACTTTATGTTTTCCACCAAGAAACTAAAGTTATCATCACCTCTGTGTCCACTTTAGTGATTCTTCCACACAGCTTTTTTCTCATACGGAAATTGCGGCAAACTTTAAAATTTTATGGACTACACTACTTAACATTTAGAATCCCTAGAATAAGCTTTTCTGTCCTGCTTGCTTGAAGTTTTGCATCGTCGAGATCAGCTCTGTTTTTCTTGACTTCGATGATAACAAAATAGTATTTTTCCATCACAATAAAATCACACTCTCCTTCTTTTGCATCTTCGTCTCGATCACATGGTTGCCCCTTCTTATCACCAGTTATGTACAGATGGTCTCCGACAAAGATCTGGTAATCACTGTGAAGGTATTCTAAACCGTGGAGTACTGTGATTTTGTCGTGTTGTTTCATTCTCTCAAGAACCCTAAAAACCATTACCTCAGCCTCATACCCATCGTGCCATTTTTAAGTTCTTCACAGTACTTGGAACTCCAGAGATAAGTTTTCTTCACTTTTATTGGATTTCCTTGAGCTTGTTCACAGAATTCCAATCCAATTTTGTCAAAAAAACTTTAGATAAATTTTTGAAAGGATGCATTGGTGGTACCATACCCGTGTAATACACAGTTGGTTGTTTCTGGATCCTGTTTGGGTAGTGGCTCGAAAGAAGAGATATAATTTTCCCTTAATCATTTCCCATCCTCTTTTGTCAAATCTGTCCTAACCGATACCCTGTTAAAATTGCTTGTCATGAGATGTTATATATAGTTCATGGTATCACAAATCTTTATAACATTCTCTAAACTAGCCCCTCCCTACCTTACTCTCATTCTCTTATCTAACCCCTCCCTACATTACTCTCATTCTCTAATCCTACCTCCTCCCTACCTTTACTCTCATCTAATTATCTAACCCCTCCCTACCTTACTCTCATTCTATTATATCACCCTCCCTACCTTACTCCATTTCTCTAATCTAACACCTCCCTACCATTACTCTCATTCTCTAATCAAACCCTTCCCTACCTTTAACCTCCTCATTCTCAAATCTAACCCCTCCCCTACCTTTACTCTCAATCTTAATCTAACCCCTCCCTACATTACTCTCATTCTCTTATCTAACCCCTCCCTACATTACTCTCATTCGCTAATCTAACCCCTCCCCTACATAACCTCTCCATTCTCTAAATCTAACCCCCTCCCTATCCTTACTCTCATTCTCTAATCTAACCCCTCCCTACCTTACTCCCATTCTCTAATCTAACACCTCCCTACCTTACCCAATCTTTAATCTAACCCCACCCTACCTTACTCTCATTCTCTAATCTAATACATCCCTACATTACTCTCATTCTCTAATCTAACCCCTCCCGATTACCTTACTCCTCATTCTCTAATAAACCCCACCCTACCTTAACTCTCATTCTCACTCCTTTCTTACCTCTCCTTCTTCTCTGCTCTCTATCTTCTCTCTTATCTCTCATTCTCTCTCTCTCTTCCTCTCTCTGCCCTCTATCTACTCTCTTCTCTCAACTCTCTCCTCTCTCTCTGATCTTCTCTCTCTCCTCCTCTGACTCCTCTACTCTCTTCCTCTCTGGCTTCTTCTCTACTGCTCTACTTCTCTCTGCTCCTTGCTCTCTACTCTACTTCTCCCTCCCTCTGCTCTCTCTCTCTTCTACCTCTCTCTCTCTCCTGTTCTTCTCTCTTCTCTCTCTCTTCTCTCTCTCTCTACTTCTCTTCTCTCTCTCTCTCTTCTTCTCTTCTCTCTCTCTTCTACTCTTCTCCTCTTCTCCTCTTCCTCTCTCTCTCTCTTCTCTTCTCTCTTCTCTCTTCTGCTCTCTCTCTTCTTCTCCTTCTCTCTTCTTCTCTCTCTCTCTTCTATCTCTCCTATCTCTCTCACCTCTCTCTTCTTCTTCACTCTCTACTGCTCCTTCTTCCTGCTACCTCTCTCCTTCTCTCTACTCTCCTGCTATCTCTCTTCTCTTTGCTCTTCTATCTCTGCTATCTCCTCTCTTCTACTCTCTGCCTCTCTACTCTCTCATTTCTCTTCTTGTCTATACTCTCTCTTTCCTCTCTCTCTCTCTCCTCTCTGTCTCTCTCTAGCTCTCTCTCACTTCTTCTTCTCTTTACTCTGCTACTCTG